CATCGTTCTCACGGCTGATTCAGCGGTCATTGTTAATTCTTTGCCCACCAGTGTTGTGCGCGTTGTGTTTTTGTTTTGATGACCGTCCCTCTAAAAGTGTATGCACATGAGTGCGCGAGAATGCATTCATGTAAACACCTCCAATGTTTCTTCAAACAGCATCTTATCTTTACTATCTCACCAACACACGCAGTAGCTAAGAGACGACATAGCGCCCTTCCCCACCCCCACCTCCACCACCCTCCCTCACCTCCACCCACCCACCCTCACCCACCCACCCTCACCCAACAGCGTGCCAGCGCGCGACGGGCAATTAGGGAGAAAACCTCGCTGATAACATCTTCTTTAACCAGAACAATGGCGGAATCACCGGTCGTTACCAGCAGGCGGTCGGTGCTGGCGAAAAGAAAGTTTTTTTTTTATCTCTTGATCTTGTGATGTCTCGGATGATGAGCTGTTTTTTACTTGAAGAGGGATGGGTGTGTGTTTTTTTTTTTTTATTTTATTTTTTTTTTTTGATTCTTTTTAATTATAATCTCCCTTCTCTTTTCCTTTTTTTCTTTTTCGTTTGTCAGAGAGAGAGGGGAGAGAGAGAGAGAGAGAGAGAGAGAGAGAGAGAGAGAGAGAGAGAGAGAGAAGAGAGAGAGAGAGAGAGAGAAGAGAGAGAGAGAGAGAGGGGGGGGGGGAGAAAGGGAGAGATAGATATACAGAAACAAACAAATCTTTATAAAGAATGAAAATAATATTAGTCATCATAAAGCTATGTACTTTCTATACAACTTAAAAGATATATATCATAATCACAATAATCTTTGCCTTTAGTTTCTAATCTATATATTTATCTATTTCATAAGATATAACCCAAAGCAGAATTGTCATTTCAGCTACCTCTTGAATGCCAACAGAGGCACATAACTAACGTTCTAGAAATACGCTGTTAAAACCACCTTTTTTACTAATTAAATTTCAGTGCTCACAAAATATGCATGGTAGAATTTCCCTTCATAAAGATCGTAATTTCACAGGCTAATAATGTAGCAAAGGTACGAATGAAAAAAAAAAAAAAAATCTTCAGTGTAAAAAGATATTCATTCTCACCCATACCTTTTCTGCATTTGTCTCAATGACCACCGTTCAGGCTAATAATTTTTTTTTTGTCATTGTGGGCATCTCGAGGGGCCTTTCGTGNCTCTATTTACCATCCTATCTATCTCTACTCTTCCTCCTTTCTATCTTCCCCCCTCCCTCTCTCCCTCCTTCTTATTCTATTTCTACTTTTAGATTTACTCTGGTGTGCGATGTGTGTGTACGCTGTCGCGCTCGTAAAAAAGAGAGAGAGAGAGAGGAAGAGAGAGAGACAGAGAGAGGAGAAAGATGGAAGAGGAGAGGAAGAGAGACAGAGAGAGAGAGAGAGAGAAGAGAGAAGAGAAGAGAGAGAGAGAGAGAGAGAGACGAGAGAAGAAGAGAGAGAGAGAGAGAGAGAGAAGAGATGAGAGAGAGAAGAGAGAGAAGAGAGAGAAGAGAGAGAGAGAGAGAGAGAGAGTATGTGCGTGCGTGGTTGTTTGTGTGTGTGTTGAGTGAGTGAGTGTGTGTGCGTGTGTGAGTTACCAACAACTACAGAAAAAAATACGAAGAATATTTAATTTACGTATAAGCGAACATACATCAAAAGAATATATTAATGATTAACATCCAGAAAGTATATTAATACTGAGTGAGTCGACATTTAATGTATGTTAGTCATCAACATGAAAATTTAAAGCATTTGAATATAAAGTATAATGACACTGATTATAACAGTTAGAATGACATTATTAATAAAAAATGATGTTGGTATCACAACAATAACAGTGATAATAATGATAATAACAATGATAATCTTACACATGATAACAATGATAATAATGATAATAATTGATGATGATAACAGTAATTATGCTAATAATAGTAATTACAACGATAACAGTAATAACATTAATAATGATAAAAATGGTAGTAGTAGTATTGCTAATATTGATATTGATAATAATAATAATAAATAAAATTAATAATAATAATAATAATAAAATAATAATAATAATAAATATAATAAATAAAATAAATAAATAATAAATAAAATAAAAAATAAATAAATGATAAATGAATAGATAATAGAAAAATAATGATAGATAAATAATAAATAAATAATATAAAATAATTAATAAATAAATAATGAATAAATAAAAATAATTAAATATTAAAAAACAACAATAAATAGATAATAAATAATAGATATAATAATAATAAATAATAAATAAATGAATAAATAATAAAAAATGAATAAATAATAGATAATAAAATGATAAATAAATAATAAATAATAAATGATAAACAAATAATAAATAATAATAAATATATAGATAATAAATAATAAAAAATAATTGATGAATAAATAGTTAAAAAATAAATAAATAATAGATAAATAATCGATCGAAAGCGTGTGGTTATTTTTATCCATTATTTCTGTTTGGGTCGTTTATTTCTTATTATTAAAAAGGGTAAAGGATCTCAATACATATAAGGAAATACTGGGATTCCAAAAGAAGACATAGTTAACACTAGTAAGGAGAATAAATCGATTTTTTTTCTCTCTCTTTTTTAAGGAAATAAAATCGAACAGAAAACGGGACTTGTCAAAGAAAACGGAGACGTTCCCATTTTTTCTTATTTTTATCGTAATTTTCCTCATCCTCTGTTTATTCTTTCTTCCTGTTTCTTCTTTCTCTTCCTGTTCCTTCTTTCTCTTCCTGTTTCTTCTTTCTCCTCCTGTTTGTTCCTCTTCCACTTGAATCAAGCAGAAAAGAAGAAAATATGGGAGAATTAGAATAAGTAGGACGAGATAAAGCTGAATAATAATAATATAATAATAATGATAATAAAATAATAATGATAATAATAATAATAATAATAATAATAATAACATAAATAATAATAATAAAATAATAATAATGATAATAATAATAATAATAATAATGATAATAAAATAATAATAATAATAATAATAATAATAATATAATAATTAATAAAATAATAATAATAATGATGATGATAATAATAATAACAATAATAATAATAATGATAATAAAGAATCAGAAAGAATTAGATAACGAATAAACAAGAAGAAACAAGAAATGATAAAAGATAAAATAAAAGAAGGAAACAGAAGAAAGAAACATATTGCAAAGAGAAAGATGAAGAAGATGGGAAAAAGGAGGGTGATAAAGATGAATAACAATAAATAATAAGAGACGAGAGGAATAAGAAAGAATTGGATGAAGATGAAGAATAACAATAACAAGGCAGATGAATAAAGAAGAGATGAATAAATGAAAAAAGGAAAAAGAAGAAGAAGAAGAGGAGGATAAGGATGAAAAAAATAAGAATAAAAGAAGAAGAAGAGAAGGGAGTAGGAGTAGGAAGAAGAAGAAAAAAAGAAAAAAATAAAAAAAAAGAAAGAAGAGGAGAAAGAGAAGAAGAGAGAAGGGGGAAGAAGAAGAAGAGTAGGAAGAAGGAAGAAAAAGAGAAGAAGAGAAGGGGAAGAAGAAGAAGAGTAGGAGGAGGAAGAAGAAAAAGAAGAAGAAGAGAAGGAGGAAGAAGAAGAGTAGGAGGAGAAGAAGAAGAAGAAAAGAAGGAGGAAGAAGAAAAGTAGAGGAAGAAGAAGAAGAAAAAAAAGAATAAAGAAAAAGAAGAAAAAAAATAAAGAAAAAGAAGAATAAAAAGAAAGAAAAAAACAGAAGAAGAAAGTGAAAGAGAAGTGAATGAAAGAACAAGAACAAGGAGGTAATAACAGGTTCAACCATAGACTTGTCTCGATATAACACCAAGTAGAACAAAACCTGTTCTCCAAGGGCGGAACATGTTACGACTTTTTTTTGTTATTTGATATCAAATGGTTGTGTTGTGGGCAATGTAATGCTGTTTTTAACTTTATTGTATTGTTGTTGTTGTTGTTGTTATTGTTTATTGTTGTTGTTGTTATTGTTTTTTGTTGTTGTTGTTTTTGTTGTTGTTGTTGTGTTATTGTTATTGTTGTTTTGTTGTTATGTTTATTGTTGTTGTTGTTGAGGATGATGATGTTGTTGTTGTTTTTGTTGATGATGATGAGGATTTGTTTGTTGTTGTTGTTGTTGTTGTTGTTGATGATGAGGATTTGTTTGATATCAAATGGTTGTGTTGTGGACAATGTAATGCTGTTTTTATCCTTATTGTTGTTGTTATTGGGGTTGATTACTGTTTTGGTTGTTGTTGTTGTTGTTGTTTTTTGTTTGTTTGTATCTACGGTGAGGATGATGTGTATTTTTTGTTTATCTATTTACTTATTTATATATTTTCACTTTTTTATTTATATATTATCACCTTCTCAGACAGTTAAAAAAAGTTTGGTATACAGTTAGACAGTAAGGTAGATGCGAAGACAGTCTGTTAATTAGACAGCAGGTGATTGGACAGTCAGGCATTCACTCAACCAGTCAACGATTCAGTCACACATCGGACAGTCATGCAAGCATACAGTCAGACGGGTTACACGGTCAGGCAAGCAGTCAGACACTCAGATATTCAAGCAGTTATACATTTTATCGAAAAGTCAGTCAAGAGTGTTGCTGACAGTCGGGTATGCAGTCAAGCAAGCAGCCACAAAGTCAGGTGTGCAGTTAGACAGTCAGCCGAGGAAGCAGACAGACAGTCAGCCAAGCAACAGTCAGCCAAGCAAGCAGTCAGCCAAGCAAGCAGTCACAAAGTCAGCCAAGCAAGCAGACAGAGTCAGTAAGCAAGCAGTCACAAAGTCAGAAGTCAGTCAGCCAAGCAAGCAAGTCACAAAGTCAGCCAGCAAGCAGTCAAGCAGTCAGCCAAGCAAGCAGTCACAAAGTACCAAGCAAGCAGTCACCAAGCAAGCAGTCACAAAGTCAGCCAAGCAAGCAGTCACAAAGTCAGGCCAAGTAAGCAGTCAGCACAAAGCAGCC